CCCCGGTGGAGGGCCCTACCCTGCCTGGGGAGTGGTGGGTGGATGGGGTTGGGGGTAGATTGGGGGTTGGAGAGGAGAGATAGGGGTGAGGGGAGGGAGAGGGAGAAGGTGCTTACATGTGAAACAAGCTTATTCCCTAACTTGAAGTAATTTAAAAAAAAAAAAAACTAAGCAAAAACCCTCTTATCAAGGCTGGACTAGGCAAACCCAATAGGAGGAAAAGAGTCCCAAGAGCAGGTAAAAGAGACAGAGACAGGCCTCACTCCAACTGTTAGGAGTTCAGCAAGAACACTAACCTACATAACCATAGTATGTACACAGAGGACCTAACAGGGACACATGCATGTTCTGTGATTGTCACCTTATTCCCTGTTAGTCCCTAGAAACATGACTAAGTTGACTCTGTGGGCCTTGTTCTCAGATGTCTTTGACCATCTGGCTCCCACAATCCTTCCTCTCTTCCATAGTATTGCCCAAGCTCCACCAAAGACCTTTAAAACACACTAAAAAGATACCTGTGTTCTGGAGCCCACGTTGAGAGATGTCTGCACTCTAAATCTGTGAAAGAAATGCCTTATGCCAATGCAGAACACAGTGCTGGAAGAGTACCTGGTGTTGCTTTGCTTGAGCCCCATGCTGCTCTCTGTCCATCTGGAGCAATAATGGAAAGAATCCATTCAGCCTTTGTGCTGTGAGACAGATTAGACATGAGGACTTGAGCAGAGGTGTTTCAGTTCCCTTTTCAGAGCAAGCTGCTGCCCATAGCTCTGCTGGATTACTTGGCATGAGCTCAAGTAAGATGCTCTGCAGACTGAGCACCTCAAAGAGCCAGAGTTTATTTCACACAGCCCTGAAGGACACACATGTGAGAGCATGCTTTATATTCTCTTCTGCAGTGTGGCCCAGAGATGGCCATCTTCCCTGTGTCTGTCCTTGAGTATTCCATGTCTTTCTGTGCCTAACTTTTCACAGGAAGATATCAGGAAAGCAGGAAGAGGACCTACCCAAATGACCTCCAACTAAATTAATCTGCTCTCTGAAGACCACATGTCTAAGTACAGGTGCTACTAGAGTTTTGGGGGATGGAAGCTCAACACATAAGTATCTGAGGCACACATGTCATCCCACAAGAAAGGTCCTTAATTTCAGGTCCAAGCACAAACTATAGAAAATCTGGAGACCATGATCTGATGACAATTTTGCAAAATAGAGCTATTTCCCATGCTGTGCAAAGCTGTTCCCTTCTTCCCTCAGTAGTTGAAAACTACAAGAGATATGGACATTGGAATCCAACTTATATAGCCTATGCTTATTTGGGGGGGCATTGGTACTGATAAAGGATCTTCCTTCATCCATGTATCTACATACATAATTATTTAACTTCAAATCTTTATAAAAAATAAGTTGTTGCAAAAACTGTGCCAAGTTCATGCCAGTGCCAGAAGCTTAACTGGAGATTCCTTTGTAATGAAAGGAACATCAGTCATTTATTGACTTCAGAACCTTGATCAGTGGGTGTTTCCTTAAGCAACGTCCTCGTCCCCTCATGAATTCAGTTGACTTTAAACTTTCTACTCCATGAAGCCTTTCTTTCAGAAGAAAAGAATGAGGAAAGTGCTGAAATACAGGACTTTGTGAGATCTCAAGTATCCAGAATGTCCAGAAAGGAGGAAATTTGACCTATGAACACACTTTTCTCTCCTGTTCTTCCATCCATCCTCTTTCTAAAGATTGCTATCATCTTATGAAGGAGAATCATACATCCCACAAATCCCCTTTTTCCTCAGGATTACCTAGGAATTGGGGTGAATTACCAATTACAGGGACATAGTGGGAAAAGAACAATGTAGTATTTGAATGACATTTAATGAGCAGTTATGACAAAGCCACCTAGTGAGAGTGTAAACAATTATGTTGAACTGCCTCTGTTGTATATATAAACAACCACTGAGCAGGACTCATACAGTGATGTCTGAGACTGACTACAGAACTGATGATGATTTAATTTTGTGCTAAAGATGCAAATTAATAATAGATGATAGTTAAATAGATTATAGGTAGATGAACAATAGATGATGGAGTTTCTACCTTAAATAAAAAAATCAACCTTTTAAGAAGTTAAGGAATTCTGTCTTCAACACAATTAAATATGGGGTCAAGAACATAAATTTGAAATAATATTGAATTAGTCTCTGATACAACATACTTCAGACAATACAGAATTATATTTTAAAATTCCTCTACCAAAGGATAGAATAATGCAAAATAGTAATACAATATTAAAAAACATTTTCCAAGGAAAAAGTATTTATTAGACCATCACCAAAAGGTAATTTATTCAGTAAGTGAAACAACAGTGACAACCGCTGTCCACAGGTGACAGGCAGACTGGGAAGGCTCCTCTGAGGGCCCAAGATAGGTAGACAGCTGCTGCTCTTGCCTCGGAGTATCTGGAATACTGAACCACCAAGGAAGGACCATTCTCAGGGCCCCTTGAGAACAGCAGGAAGACAGCCTCAGAGGCATGCCTTCTCTATCAGGGGTCATCAGAAGCACATAGAGGAGAAGGGTGGAGAAGATTCTTCGGCATCCATGACAGGCTTTGAAAGAAGAGGGGGTGCTTGTATGGAAGTAGATGAAGTGGATTTCCTTTCCCCTCTTCCTGGTGACTCCTGAAGCCCTCACTTGCTCTTGGGTGGGCACTTCTGCTGGCATGGTGGACAAATTTGCACAGGAGGGCACGTTGGCTGGCATGGCTGAGGAGGGCATGGCTCAAGACACTGAGGAGGAGGACAAGGCTCTGGACACTTTGGAGGAGGACAAGGCTCTGGGCACTTAGGGGGTAGACACACAGGGGGAGGCTGGCAAGGCTGCTTGCACTGCTGCTGTTGGTAAGACATCGTGCTGAAGTCTCAGGATCTGAAAGACATTACAAGACAGTTCTCACAAGAGACCCCCACAGAAAATGAAACTAGGCTTATGTAACTACAGAAACTTTTCTTCTCTTTCTGTGGACCTGTTGTACATGAAAATCTTCCAGTCTCATTTTAAGATGCTCTAGGTTTCATCTACTACTGCAGCATTTTTTTCAACAGCTTTACCCAACCTTTCATTAATCTCATATCAATTTTCCTAAGGATATGCTTGTGTTCTATAGCACTGGGAAATGTTATTTATATGAATAGAACATCCTTGTAACCTTGGCATTCTTATAAACAGTACCCATCTAATGCTAGTGTATTTCAAGTAGAATGACTGAGCAACACAAACATATACGTGTTGAAAGAATAGGTGGCACTCTGAACCTCTTGTAACATAACCCGTTGAAAGGGATTCCATCGAGATATGGATAAAAGAAAATTGCATGTTTTCCTTTGTTCTCATCTCAAATCAAAACTTCCTCAACTATCTTGCATTTCCATGTAGACATTAAATTACAGTACAGACAAAGGCAAAAGCAATCCAGTACAGTACATGAATGTCGTCCATTCCAAAAGTTGCATCCACTGTCACATTTAACCCATGATCAGTTAGGGCCCACCAAGCTTACTGTGTTTAACTGAAACTACTCGGATGAGAATACATCAAAGGCAGACCCTCTCAAGAACTCAAGAAATCAGACTCACCAGGTTCTCCGCAGTAGAGCAGGGCTTGAGTACCAAGAATACTGCAGCCAAGCACTGAGACTCTTTATAGGACTGCCTGCCTCACCCAGGGGGAAGTAGATCTGCCCCTCATGGGCAAGTCCAAGAATTTCCTAACATAAATGCAAATCCATCCATAACTGGCTGGACCGGGACTCTGAAAAGTAGGAACTATCCCATCCTTGGCCATCATCACTGGGTTGAGTCCTGTGACTCAGAGGCCTTTCCTTTCCTCTTGGTTCCAGTGATCTTGCCAACTGGTAGGTTGAGGGATTCTCTAACTGGTTATGAAAGCTTTTTTGACTGGAGACCATACCTCTTTGTGTGCCGCAAACATCCTTTATCTTAAACTCATATTTCTGTGTTATTTGTCCTTCCTTAGTTTGTTGCTATTTTTCAGTATATAAACCCATTTCCATTGGGGGCCAGTATTTTTGCTTGGTTTTTTTTTTTTATTTCCTCAGACCTTTACAAGTTTGTTAGATGGAAGAAGAGAAGCAAAAGAAGCTTCATTCTGATCCACGTTTCCCCTTTAACATGTCCTGTGCTCAGTATCTTCTATTTACATGCATTTAAATTTCAGGAAACATGGAGAAATAGTACCTGTCTCTCAGAGTAAGTGCTGACAACATTGGGCTGCCTGTGAACCTGCTCAGCATAAAAAGTTCTCCTTCATCTTTCTTTCCTCCAGAGAATCTCAGATTTGATCTACATTCTCTGCCTTTGATAGCAGTCATGTTCCTCTGAGAATAGGGCTACTTTCCTGGGGTAGATCCTAGTCCCAGAGTGGCATCCAGTCTCTTCGGTGCTGTTTTTCTTTATTTCCTACAGGATGTATGCTACAGCCTTTTTAGTTACTTGGATGGTTCATTAGTTAGTTAGTTAGTTAGTTAGTTAGTTAATGGTATTTTTTTCATGAATGGATTTCTCTGTGTAACAGTTAAAGATTCTTGCTGGAACTCACTTTGTAGACCAGGCTCGGCTTGAGAGATGCAGCCGCCTCTGTTTCCCAAGTGCTGGGGAAATAGTCATGGGCCACTACCACACACCATTCTGTTTAATTTTTATAAAACATATTCTTAATAATAACATGAAGGAAAAAGGGAGAAGAGAACAAATATCCTAAGCATTCATTCAAAATTTATTTATTGGGCCTCACCTGTGTGGTCACCAGGAGTACATCCTAGGGTACAGAATAAGAACACTGGGCTCAGCCATCACATTCAAATAATTGAGCATGAGTTAGGAAGGGGCAATAGAGATTCAAAAGTATGAAATATGAGGCAGCAGCATATGAAGTTAGGTCAGACTCGAATGTTGGATTTTATTTACTAACTTTCCTGATAGATTTAATGATTTTTGAAAACAATATTTCAAAATTCTTTCTGTAGACATGGTGGTTCTGTATTTTCCAAAAGTCCATCACCTACTCTATCTCTCCAACAACTTCTCCTACATATACCAAATTGTACAGAGAAGACAGCAGCACTGTTCTCTGTTAAGACAAATGCCAGTATTCACTGTCACAGAAGACAAGGTCAATGCATTGGCAGTCTGTTCCCATTCCTGTCCCTTCACTCTTCATACAATCACTAGAGCTAGGTAACTATGTAATCATCACTTACAGTCTCATTTCTAGGGTTTCTCTGTCTTCATCAAATGATTAGAAACTCCAAAAGGCACATGGTTTTAAAAATAGAGGAGAAAGAAAGGCATGACCAGGAAAAGGAAAGATTTAAACTCTCTGAAGCAGCCACCAGATGTTCTGCACAAAGTTCAGGAGCACAGAGTCAACCTCAGCTGAGCAGCTCAGCTGCCCAGGACTATCAATGCTGCTGACATTTAGGAAGAGTTTAGACAACACCATCACAGTACACACTGCACCTCTATGGGGAAATAGCAATTATTTCAGCATGTGAGGCATCATCATGAATGGCTCACATTAGCTACCACACATACCACAGGGCTACATCAAGGGCCTGTAGTCAATAGATCTCTTTTGAGTCTCCAGACTCTCGCATCACATCTAAAGCATCATTCTAGGGGAATGTCTGGTTTCTATCATCCAAAGTTAGAAAATGAGCTGCCCAACTGGGCGTATACTATCATAATAAAGTTTTGGTTACTCCTTGACTCTTTCTCCAACTATACCACACCCAAAGAGACATTAAGTTAAAGAAATTCATCCAGTCCAACAAGACACCTATGTGTTTATATTCCCACAGTTATAATCTGGGATGTGTGGAGAGCATGAAAATCAAGGGGGTCTATGAACTGTGAAACAAACAGGAGGGGGTCTAAGAGTAATAAAGAGGTGAATGTGATCAAATATAGTATAGTTATGAATGGATAGGTAATAAGGAAACCCCTCAATTTGTAAAATTAATACTCACTAATAAAATTTATTGAAGGGCTACTAATCATAATATTGCAGGCAACAGAGTGAGAGCAGCTGTCATCATTTTCCAGACTAAGGTGGTTAAATTTAATGAGTTCTTTGCAGATCAGTTATAGCAGGGGTTCTCAACCAGTGGGATGCACACTCTTCAGGGGTTAGAAGGACCCTTTCAGAAGGATCACCTAAGACCATCAGAAAATACCGATGTTTCATGACAGTAACAAAATACAATTGTGAAGTAGCAATGAAAATGCTTTTATGGTTGGGTAGTTACCTCAACATTAGGAACTTATTAAAGGGCCACAGCATTAAGAAGGTGAGAACCACTCAGCTATAGAAAAATCTGTCCCAGATAAAGTATAAAATAACACAAACTTTCTATAGATTTGACCTTCCAAGGGCTAAGACATAAAACATCTCTCTCTCTGTCTCTCTCTCTATCTCACTCTCTCCCTCTCTCTCTCTCATACATCCCCTCACAAACACACACACACACTCCCAAGCAGGCTCATGCTTCTCCATACAATTATTGACAAAATTTCTATTGAAGTGTGTTTAATTACTATTAAGGTAAACATTCAACTCTCAACCCAAGCACTGCTGCTTCCTTACTGAGAAGGGATGTATGCATCTCTGCTACATGAAAACTGGCAGAAAAGATCAAAATACTTCAATATTTCTAATACTTAACAGTTCAATCAAATTTTACTACTATATATCACATACCTTTGAACAAGATAGCTCCTATCACTCAAGATTATACAATTATTAAATAAATGTAAAAAATGGAAACTGTAGGCCAGGCGTTCGTGGCACATGCCTTTAATCCCAGCACTCGGGAGGCAGAGGCAGGAAGATCTCTGGGAGTTCGAGGCCAGTCTGGTCTCCAGAGTGAGTGCCAGGATAGGCTCCAAAGCTACACAGAGAAACCCTCTCTCGAAAAAAAACCAAAACAAAATGGAAACTGTAGCAAAATATTCTTGATATTCTCAGAGAAAAGGTAACTCTAGGCACCATTGGATTTCTGCCTCTGTTCCTTCCCAATCTTTCTTTCATAATCTTGACAAATCAGATTAATTGAATGACATATATTGTGGAATTATTTCCATATTTTTATTTTTATTGCATACATTTAGCCAGTTTTTTGGGGAGAGGCACATGCCAAGGTATGGATTTGGAAGTCAGAGGACAACTTGTTGAAGTCGGTTCTTTGCTTCCTCCATGAGGGTTCCAAGGATGAAAGTTCAGTGCTCTGGCTTAGAGGCAAGCACCCATGATGGCAGAGCTATCTTGAAGGTGGTGTAGGTCCAACCACATTCCATGAAGAACCATTGAAAAATAGAAACCCTCACAAGAGTATGGCACAAATTCAAGGCAGCGGAAATCATTTTGTGGTGAGCCATCATTATAGATTCCACCAAGACCATTTTTCTGAACTATTTACTTTAGAACTTGAAAACCCTAATACAAATGAGAAAAAGACAAAAGACTAAAGCAGACAAGCACACCATCATGCATCAGAAACTTAGATCAGGTACAGAGCTTCTTTTTTACTTTTTTAATAGAAAAGGACTAAAGAGAAGCTTATCTTCCACCAAGCCATGATGCAATTTCTCTATTCACCATACTAAGAGGAAATACATTGTCACACAATGGAAATAACTACCTGAACGATAGAAGTCACAGTTCAGGGTGTGCTGGATCTCCTCTACACAAGACCTGGAGAAACTGAGACATGAGGGTGGCCCTAGTCTACAGAGGAGCACTTTTCCACTTCCCAAAAAATTGCTATTGCATTGCATTCGTGGAAGAGGACTAATGAGTAGAAAAGACAGAATAAAAGACAATATAATGATTC